TCGAGAAAAAAAAAGTTGATAACATATTCGCCAGCGGTCCTTATCATTCTCTCGAATCGAGTGACGAGTCATTTCTCTGGCCCTCGCCATCGGCGTTGTTACGTTTGAGTTTTGATGCAAATTCAATTTTTCCGCATTGTCGTTTAGAATAAAATATTCAGATGTTTGGTAATTCGAGTTGTCGGTATTAATTTTAAACTGTCGATGACGGGCCAAGTCTGTTACTTTTGTGATAGTACACATTTATTGTTATGCGGCAATCGTTATATTATAAAGCGCCGATTAACGGTCCTGCTTATTATGAACCTATAAAAAAACGTACTTGGTAAACTCGATTAGAATAAAATATTCGATATTTGGTAATACACCTTGAATTTCTTGGTCTGTATAATTGACGAGCCTATTACAATATATATTACGTGTTTGATGAACGTGTTGGTTTTTTTTTTAAGAAGAGGGAAAGGTTTAAAACCAACTTGTTAAAACGATAAAAAGTTTTTGTTGACAACAAATACACATTGTGCTCTGACTATGTATGTGGCCGTAATATTTTTGAGCATGTAAAAAAAAAACTTGTTCAGTATGCAATAATCAAGTAGTTACTGGTTAAGGTGTATGTGCCAGCCAACAGTATTACGGCCAAATGGTCAACGGTTAAAGTGTTAGTTTAATATATTTATTTCTATTATTTATTATTATAAACAAATTGTTATGTTGGGTCGCCCTCTCTTGGGCTTGGCCCGGGTGATCACTCTTCGCTTAGCTAAACACTAGATGGTGTGCACATAGTATCAACCTTAAATCCCAAAGTTTTTAAATATTTATCAATTTACCAAGGTTCATTGTTATATAATGCTTTAATACCATATGTGCAATATAAATAAGTATCTTACGATTAAAATAAACACTTGAGCAGTAAAAAATATATGGTAAAAAATGGATAGTACCTCTTGGGATGGCTTTTTATGGGTAGCATGGAGAAATGTTGCAGAAATACCCGGGGATTCATTTATTAAAATCATCTTTTGAACTAATAAAATAAGATTGTATTTTAACGGTGTTTGATACTTCAGTATTTAACCACGCTTGATACTTACAATTTTATTGTTCATTCTTATCAATCAGTATTAACCAATATCCTATCTTTGCATAATTCCTGTTCGGACGACTTCGTAAGTAACATTTTAATCTTATTATTCCTATGAACAAAAATGTCATCTGAGTCAAAAGAATATTTTAACGGTGTTCGTGGATTCCACGTAACCGTGTTCTAATATATTATGCGAATAGTCAAACTTTCATTCCTCACTTTGCAAGTTCTCGAGTATAGCGTCAATAGCATTTTGTTATATTAACTATACTGAGGAAAGCATTCTGAGGGTGGGGTGAACACTTTTATTTTATTCATGTTTAAATAATTTCTATTACCTTTTTGTACACCTTACATTTTGCGTTATATCTTTGGGCATAGCCAATTTTAAAGGATTTGGTCATTTCCATTTTGATGATACTGCTGTGCAAGCCGTCACCAACCCAACAAGTCTGCACCAGTACTTCCCAACCACCCTTATATTATATGCAGCTCTAATATTGGTCGTATGTCGTCAGGTGAATACTAATAATTTATTAAATTATTAGTAAGGATCATAATTAAATTATTGTATAACGATAGTTATCAGACTCCTTTTAACGATGCTCTTACCTATGTGTATTTAACCGTGCTTAAGGAGTGTAGGTAATTTTAAAACATTTAGTTTAAACTTGTTCTTATTTTAATAACGTTCGTTTAAATGTATATTTTTTTTTTGATAAAACATTTTGTTAGAAATAAACAATTTTTATTAGCGTTTCATGAAATTATTGTCCAATATTTGAAATATTTTTCGAACACAATTAGTCAAAATGTTAAATATATTATTAATTCTATAAATTAAGGTAATTTTAGGTAAATAAGTTGCTGCCATAGAGTAGGGCTGGCGGTATTTGATATTTGAATACCGGTAATACGGTATTCAAATATTACCGGTAATTACGGTATTTACCAAAAATACACTATTTACCAAAAATACGGTATTTACCGAAAATAGGTATGTATCGGAAATAAGGTAATTACCGACAATTTTGGTATTTGCGGTAATCTTTGTAACTATCACACATAATATATAAGGTGTACAGAGTATACGTACATTTTATATTATAGCGTTCCTCAAAGTTATTCAATGTAATTTTTTCCATAGATTTAATAAATAAATAAAATTATAATAGTATAACGTCTGTAAGTTAATTGGAACTATTTGTTTATAATATTGTAACTGTGATTATTTTTAACATTGTGGACATGAATAATCCGTTCCTTTGTTAAATTTGCCATTCATGTCATGATGTCACGTTGTTATATTGACTTATTCTTGAAATATATCAAACAAAATTACCTCAAACTAAAATATGTAATTAGATGTACAAAGAAAAACGTTTGCCGTCTTATGTCCTGTGAAAATTATATTTTCTTATGTTATCCTATTATTTTCATGCATTTTTATATTAGATATTATACAGTGTGATTTTTTATCATGAGCCGCTATTGAATCTCACTATTAAATCTCAAAGGATTTAATTAGTAATTGAATTTTTTTTTTGCATAATGCTTTTAAACAATGTGATCTCAATATCTCACAAGTTTTTATGTTTTAACCCCACCCAAACTAACTATTTTTATATAAACTTTTAAATGGTAACGTGGATATTTTATTTACTCTTTTCAATTAAGAATATTTTACTATAAAGGAAGTGCACAAAAAAAAAAAGAAATTCAATCATTGACAATTTTATTTATTACTTTGTCTTTAGATCGGCATGTTTATCTGCTTAAAACTTAATACTAGATTAATGAATATTAATTGATGGTAGTTAAAAAATAATGTACTAATTTGTAACGAAATTGTATGTGTTCGAAAATATTTTAATAATCTCCCTCCTCCCAGGAGAAAGGTTGTGAAAGTTTTTTAAAATTATTTTGGCGCTGTTTTAAGATTAAAGAACTGAAACTGAAGTTTTTTTTTGGTCAAAGTTGGACAACGAATGATTCGGATTTTGGTTATATTACATTAAATTAAATATCCATCTTAAGTAATTTGATAAATTATGAATAATTATTACAAACACTAATATTATTAGTAATTTCAAAGATATAGATATAACCTAAAAAAATATTATGAAAATACTACAATACAAACAGCGCATATGAGAAAGTATTTATATGAAAAAGCCGGACAAAATTATTTAATGAACTTAGTGGTCAAAACAAAATAAATAATAAAATTTAAATTACAAAAAAACTTACAATATAAAACATTATCTGATAAATTTATCAGGGACTTTGTTGAATAGGGCCCACGCTTTTTAATGTAAATCTTTTTAGTCAAAAATTAAAGATGCTTATTATTTAAAATTGTAGTTAATTTTCGGTTGTTTTCAAAGTAATTGACATTTTAAATAAAATATGCTACAATTGAATGGTAAATTGTTCTTGTAATAAAATAATTTTTTACTTTTTAGTTTACTTTTTACTATTTTTTTTTTTAGGAAAGCATGTTTTTAAAAAAGTTTTTTTAAATTTATATTTTTAGTTTTTAGTCCTATTAAAGGTATTTAATGATTGCTGAATAGATTACTAAATTAATTTTGGAAGATTTGGAAAAACATGAAATTTTAGTGTAATGACCCCCACATTTGACCCTGTGTAAGGCGACCTAGATGTCCGAGTCCCAATGTGATTACGTGATATTGTATTGTCATCCAAGATGAGTGTCTGAGCTAAGTTTTAGCCCTCTACAACATCGGAAAGTGGGTAAAATTAATTTTGCAAGATTTGAAAAATACCCGTACAAACGTACGTACGTGTTAGCGAACTAAAGAAAAGCATGTAAAAACATGTAGATAATCATAAAAAATATCATTAAATCATAATAGAAATATGTTTTTGTTTTGTTGATTTATTTTTACAAATTATGATATTCGCGTTGTCCACATATTGCAACAACTCTTAAAAAAACCTAAATATTGTAAGTTTTTTTTTTTTTAATAATTTACTACTTCACTGATTAGTAGTAAAAATTATTTTTTGGAACAATTAGAAATAAAGTGTACAAATAGTATCTATTTTTTTTGGTTAAATAAAAACGTTTAATTAATAAAAATAAATAATTGTGAATAATGTCGTTTATAGAAATTTGCTAAGATTGTAGTACAAAAAAATAATATCAGGAATAACAACATACATAATAAACTATTGTGAAACCTACCTTCTTAACTTTTAAGCTAGAATTAAATGTGTTTTTACGATTCATACTGAAGTGTCCAAAAATTAATATCGAAACATATAAAAACTGAATAAATCATTGCATACGTGTTAGCTTCTGTTTTATTTTTATACTTTGTAAATATTTATTATATTATCATACACTTGGAAATGTATAACTATTATGGTGATGACCCACAAGTGAGCACAAACTATTCGTGTATATTTTATCATTTAAACTTTTCAAGATTGTTCCTACGCAATAATTCAAGCGTTTGGTTTTGTGGAACATTCTACTCAGATAACAGTTATCGGTCGAGTTCAGCTTTATAGTATAATATTATTATAAGGAAAACTAAACGTTAGAACACGTATAGTGTAGGAATGTTACAAGGAACCATGTAAATAGTATAAAATGCTAAGAGGCGAAATGTATGAACGACATAATTTAGGTTGTGCGAATAAATTGGCAAAGAAAGAACCGGATGATTGCAGAAAGTGATAATGTAATTAGCACGGTGAAATATTATACGCCTCAGCCCGCAAAAATACTATTGATCGTTTAAAATAATGTCGAAATAACTTTGACCCATCTGAATTGATTTATGTTTTGATGACGCACAGCGCTACCGTCGCTTTCGGCGCCTGGACAAAACGCTGGATGTGTAGTTTACCCTGGATATGCCGCTCTAGCAGTTTTGCAGCTACCCTTACACGAATAAGAAGTCCTTCGGCCGGCATCGATCGTCCAGAAAAAACTCAAAGAAAATTGTTCAAGGCCTAATCGTTCAACTTATCCGAGTGAGTATTGTTTTATCGTTGTTATTTTAACAAAATATTTCAACCGAATAGTCGTGAGCGGCGTTAGACGTATTTTTTTACTTAATCCAGCGACACGGTAGTGGCGCGAAGCTAAGTAAAAAAAATGGCGAGCGCTTACCGGGGTGTGTATACTATACACAAAACACCGCAATCCCATTAAACGCGTGTAAATTTTACCATAAATTTCGGAATGAATTTGTGGGCCAAGGGCTGGACAGAAATGCACATACGAGATATCAATAGATTGGGAAAGTCGTGTAGATCGGATCGAACAAACTAACTTATCGATTGGTTGAATACTTTCTTAGTTACAAGCAAAAAAGTAGTACAACATTTCTGAGGTTTCCAGATACATGTTTTAGTCAAAAAATTATTATGATGACCGCGCGGTGCCAGACGTTGTGCACGATGGTGAGGGGTCGGATCGGGGGAGTCCCCACCATTGTTATGTCTACAGCTGTTTGTTGTGTATTGTGCTGTACCTTGTGGTGTGTTGTCCTTGTGTATAAATTGCTAATAATAATACTGACGGTTATTACTTTATTTTTATACTAGAGCTTCGCTCTAGCTGGGGGCTCCGCCCCCAGGCCCCCGAGTCGGGCGGGTAGGTCACAGATTCCCGGTACTGTACCCGGCTACGCCGGGCACGCTCACGTCCCCTCGCTGCAAAGTATTTTCGGGGAGGTCACAGATTCCGAGGGGGGTGCCCGGCTGCGCCGGCCACGGTATGTGGAAGTCAATGCACAACGGTTCCTAGGGGGGTGCCCGGCTGCGCCGGCCACGGTGTCGAGCCATCGCAATACGTCTTAAAGGAATGACGTTATAATTCACGGTACCTATAGGCTGTATCTAGTAATCAGAATTCATACCTAGTTATGGACAAATATTTTGCAAGCTAAGTACTGATTAAGTGTAGAGTAAGTCTAGCTATGTATCTGTAATTTTTTTAAATTTTAAATTGAAAAGAATAGCTAGAAGTTAGACGGTTAATAAATATCAAGTGTCCGGTTTTGCTTACTTGGGTTGTTACCACTTTTTACTACCAATGTCCAGTTCCTTATCAGTGGGCGGAATTCGTGTTGAAAACTGATAAGGACGGCAGGTCTCCGAGTGTTTTACCATTCGCTCGCTCGGCGCCGTCGCTTCGCTCCGCCAACTAAAAATATCCTAGGTTTGTAGGCTACAGTCTATGAGGAGGTAACAGGTTTAAAATTAAGTTTAAATTAAAATTGTAAAAAGTTAAAGAGACTTGATAAGAAGCTGGCCATTGGGAAAAAGTGTATAATGGAAATTGTCTTTGGTAAAAGTAGTTATATTATAGACCACGTCATCAATATAGGCCGGTGTCATCCCGCTTAACTTTATGAGTTTAAAACAGATAAAAATGTCTAGAGGACAGTCAGCTAAATGTCTGTTAAGGTTTGCCTTTGTGAAACAAAATTTGTTTAAACGTAGTATGTTATATGTCTGTACACAGCGGTTCCGAGTGGGGTGCCCGGCTACGCCGGCCACGGTGTCGAGTCAGCTCACTATGTTTTAAAGTATACCGTTATAATTCATCGTGCCTTTATCCAGTAATCATAGTTCATACTTAGTTTCGAAAAAGTGTTTTGCAAGCTAAGTACCAGTTAACTGTAGTGCAAGTCTAGCTATCTGTCAGATCAGAAATGTCCTACTACTAAAGCGAGTGTGCTACTTGCTTAAAGTACAATTATTTTTTTTTTTTATTTGAATTGTTTGAGGTGTTGTTTACTTCACGGGCTTGGTAATAGCTATGGTTAAAAATAGATAGAAATGTTTAGAGGTCAGTCGGCTATATGTCTGATATGGTGTTCCCATGTGCAACAAAACTTTTTCAAACGTATACGTTATATGTCTAGATATTGGTTGAATTAAAATCCTTATTTGTTCAGAAATCACCGTCTATGCCATTATTCGGTAATGACGTACTGTACATTTAGAATGTAACCAACAGCATAATGCATTAAATATGTATATTAAAGGTCTGGTGGTTTAACAGAAGTTCATAAGTGTTTAAGAATTCAAGAGTAAATCACATGAATGAAATGTCTAGTTTATATTAAAACTTAAAAGGGAAAGAAGTGAAGAGTGATAAATACATTATTATTGATCGACTATTTGGCAGAGCTTATAAAAATGTCCAAAGAGAGGTTAAATGAATTGTCTCGATGCAAATCTTTTAGTTTTTGGATCTGGACCTTTAATGCTAAAGGTACTTTGATACTTAAGGTCTGACGTTTGTTGGTTATTAGAAGTTTAAAAGTGTGGAAGAATGATATGTTTGTGTGACGGTTACTTGGGAACTCAAGAGTACAAAACATGAATGAAATGTCTGAAATAATTTGTAGCAAATATTTTTGATTATTCGAGTGTCCGGCGGTGATTATAAAAACGGTCAGAGTACAAAATGATAATAATAATATTCAGTGCATAAAATACCTAAATTATTTGATACTTATCCAGACATATTTTATACATAATAGATAAATTGATATATACATTAATACTTTTTTAAGTAAACCATGAAAGGTATAAATCCATATGTTGATATATTTTTAGATGGCTAACCAACAATTCATCCTACTAAATGATAATAATAAACAATTTTTAAATAATTTTATTTTTCATTATGTAGGATCAATTTAAAAAAATATAGCAAAATCTATAGATTTACTATACTTTTTTAGGGTGGAGCGAATACTTATATTATACTTCTATAAATAATAAAATAGTAAATTAAATGTCGATTTTCAATATAAATTTTAACCCTTTGAAGCACAGCATTTTTATCTCCGATTTTCTCTGAACATGATTATGAAGGTGGTAATAAATATATACCACTGTGCGAGAGTAGGCTATTTTTTGAAAAAGTGGTATATTACTTATACCACCATGCTTCAAAATGTTAAAATGCAATAAAATGATTTGAAATTAATATTTTATTTTTATGTTTTAATAATGCCCTATGTCTGAAATCACACCACCAAAAAACCAAAATATCAATATTAATAAGTATCTAATTTAGTTCAAGCTATATCAACAGCAGCTCAAAAAAAATATATATATACATACATATAATATAAAAAATTAACATTAAATAGTTAGTAAAAATAAATGTTCAGACAATTTTTTTGATTTTTGATTACTACTCATAAAAACGGTCTAAGAACACAAAATGTTGAACGCTAAAATAATCTAGAGACAACTGTTTTAAGAATTTAAAAAGATGATATAGGGACTTCTGCTGATGCTTTTAAAAAACATACCTATAATTTTTTATTATAAGACTGTGTAAAAATGCATTTATTCGTTGGTTGAATAAGTATTATAAAGCCAGGGAGTAAAAACTGGAATGATTAGAGCATATGAATAGCATAAGATGTTGCTATGTATAATGCTATGTATGTTGCTATGTATAATGTGATTAAAATAAATTAGATCATATAATATAGTTATTTCTTATTAGAGCGGAATGAACACATAGATATTTTATGTCAATAATGTATATAAATTTAAGCACACAAAAGTAGCCCCAGGTGTAAAAAACTAAAAATTGATTGTTTTTAGATCCGAACAATTTTTATTCAGTGCATCGAATATACTATTATTATTATTTAAAAAAATATTTTTCATTATATATATATATATATATTATTATTTTAACAACAGTAAACTTTTTTTAAATTAATCCATGTATTATGTTATTTTTAGATAGGTATATAAATGTTTTTCTACTAAATAATTTACAATAATACTTCCTAAAAAAAAAATTATCTGGAAAGTGAAATCAGATACATGATTTAAAAAAGTTATATGTTTGTCAATTTCAAAGAATACAAACTATATTTTCAACTTTAATGACAATTATTAGATTTTTTTAGCTTGAATTGTTGATTTCCACATAGCTTACCTACAATGTCTGAATTTTCCAAAGTTAAAATATTAAAACCACAAATTAAGTCAAAACACAAATTTTAAAAACCCTAAAGGGTAAGTGATAGTACTCGATAGTGATCATACATATTTATATAGGTAAATCATCCTACTAAATGAAATAATTAAAATGTATTCAAATAATGCCAATTTAACGTGAAATAATATATCATTAAAAAAATATATATAAAAAAACTAAAATAATTTGTATTCTATGTAGTGATCACAATTGTACAGCTTTAACAAAAAAATGTGAAATAATTAATGTTTTAATTATTTGTACATCAGTATCGTATGTGTGTGCACGTTTAGAAACTAAAGCGTTAAGAGAAGTCGGTTAAGACACTGTATAATGAAAAAAAAACTGTCAATTTAAATTAGGGTTGAGTATAGAGATTAGATAGGCACTAATTATTAAAAAATACTTCATAAATAACAAAAAATCAACTTCTACGGTGTAAGTTCTCTGTTGGCCGCAGGCAAATTAATCGATGACGGCATAGGATAACAGTCTGTAACCGATGGTAACAATAATAACTACTTATTGTATTAATTAAAGACAGAGTAGATAGAAGTAGCAATCAATCTTCTAAACGGACACGCGTCGGTTATGATTTCACTATAGTATTGGCCTAAAACAAATAATTTACATATATATAAAATAAGTCAGTAAGTTATTTAATTGAAAATAAATAGTAGATATATATGTCAACAAATTTTTCAACAAAAAATATGAAATGTATCGTTATCACCACGCACAGCGGTTTGAAAAAGATAAGAATTTTGTACATCTAATTAATTTGATAATTTGGTTTAAGCAAAATGTAATATACTACTATACTATATAGTATTATATATATTCTAAATCTAAAAAACGTACCGACATCCAACGACGCATATTAATAGGTAATGTTTGCACACCGGGAAACACGTCGATTTCTCTTGAACGAAAACCGTGAGCGAATTCGGACAAATATGTAATTAATAATAACTATTATACGTTTAATATATAATTATATGTATAT